GGGATAACATTTGAGCAGAATCTTAAAGAAATCAAAGTTCATGTTCCTTACAAACTTTTTTTTTTTTTTTTACATTTCTTACATTTTCCTTGTGAACTTTTTTTTACATTTTTTCTACCAAAAAAATTGTAGAGACGAGTTTTCAGCATGTTGCCCAGGCAGGTCTTGAACTGAGGATCAAATTCAGCTGAGCTGAACTGAGCTCAAGCAATCCTGCCACCTCAGCCTCCCAAAGTGCTGGGATTATAGGCATGAGCATATGCCCGGCCAAAGGTCTGTTTGTTTGTTTTTAAATTAAGACTTTAAAATTTTGCTCTGTTTTATTTTGAAATAATTTCAAGCTTACAGGAAATTTGCAACAGTAGTAAGAATTATCATATACCCTTTACCCAAATTCACCAATTGCTAACATTTTGCCACATTTGCTTTATCATCCTATTTGTTTTATTATTTTCCCTCCCCCTTCCCCCTTGCTCTTCTTTCTGTCTCTCTCTCTCTCTCCCCCACCTTCCCCACTTCCCACAGGTAAGTAAGTGTGTGTGCGCCTGCATGTGTGTACCTTCTTAGCCATTTAAGAGTGAGGCATAGGCAGTGTTCCTCTTATTTCTAACAATCACAATACTATTATCAAAATCCGGAAATTTAACATGACACAATACTATCTTATTAGCAGATTTTACTCAATTTTTGCCATTCATCCCAGTGTCCTTTATAGCAATTTCATTTTTTTCTGATCTAGAAGCCAATTCAGGAAATCACATTACATTTAGTTTTTATGTCTTTTCAGTTTCTTTTAATCTGAAATAGTTCCTCAGTCTTTCTTTGTCCTTATTAACATTGTCGATTTTGAAGCAAATAGGTCATGTATTCATGTATTTTGTAGAATATCCCTTAATTTGGGCTTGTCAGTTTCCTCACAATTACATGCAGGTTATGCATTTTTCACAAGAATGCCATAGAAATGATGTTGTGTCCTTCTTAGTCCATAATATCAAGAGCACATGATGTAAGTGTATACCCATTATTGGTGATATTAACTTAAATCACTTGGTTGTTATGATGTCACTTAGGGAAGGTGGTGTTGCCAGATTTTTCCACTTTAAGTTTCTTTCTGAGTACAGGGAACATACTAAGAGACAGAACAATGTAAAACAGAATAGCGTGTTCAAAGACTAACAAATAGTTCTCTATATGTAGGGTGTAGCATTAGGGTATAGCATTAGGGCATAGCATTTATGCCAGAGATGAGGGTGAGGGGTCCCAGCAGAACCAGATGATAGATGGTCTTGAATGCCATGCTCAGGAGCTTAGATTTGGCCCATGAACCAAAGGCACCACCAACAGGTTTTGAGTGGAACTTTGACGTAGTTAGCTTTGTTATTTATGGTTTCTGGGTTCTGTTGACTGCCTAGGCCCAAGCGAATGAAGAATGGGAGGCATATGAGTTCCAAAGCAGAAAAAGTATTTGTGGTGCCTTTTGAGAAGATAGAAGCGCCATGGCTAGGGCCATTCTCTTTCTTAGACTTAGATAAGAGTTACAGCAGAACCATTCCTGTAATACTGCACACAGGAGCCATTTGTTCTTTTTAATCAAATCACTGCCAGATAGACTTTAACCCTGCTGAAAAACGTGTTAGTTCAGTGTGGCATCTGGGAACAAGCACAGCTTTAGAATCAGAAGATCTAAATGGAAACTCCAGCTCTGTCAGTTTTTCTCTGAGTAACCTTGAGCAAATCTCTTTACCTCTCTGAGCTCTGTTTTCTCATCTCAAAAATGCGTGGAAGAATAATACACCTTCCAAGGTGGTTGTGAGGATCAAATGAGATAACATACATATGTGCAAGAACATTATAAGTTTGAAACTGTGCTCCAAGTTTTTGTTTTTAACAGAGGCACTGTGGCACATTGTATTGATTTCCACACTTCAGGCGGCTTCATGGCATCTTGACCAATTTTATCATTTCTGAATGGGCATTGCTGTTTATATTAGTCTTTCAGTAACTTTTAAAAATCAAAGTTAATTTTTAAAGGCAATTTTTTACCACCTCAGTGAGTTGCACATCAGAATAAATGTATAATTTAAGAATAATTAATACGCCGGGCGCGGTGGCTCAAGCCTGTAATCCCAGCACTTTGGGAGGCCGAGACGGGCGGATCACAAGGTCAGGAGATCGAGACCATCCTGGCTAACACAGTGAAACCCCGTCTCTACTAAAAATACAAAAAAAAAACTTAGCCGGGTGAGGTGGCAGGCGCCTGTAGTCCCAGCTACTCGGGAGGCTGAGGCAGGAGAATGGCGTGAACCTGGGAGGCGGAGCTTGCAGTGAGCTGAGATCCGGCCACTGCACTCCAGCCTGGGTGACAGAGCGAGACTCCGTCTCAAAAAAAAAAAAAAAAAAAGAATAATTAATACTTAATAATAATGTAAATAAGAATAATTAGTAATTAAGAATGTATAATTAAGAGTTTATGCACCACCTAAAAGTATCTTATGTTTCTCTGAAAGAAGTCTGGTCTTAGAGTCTGATAGCGTGGGTTCCAACCCTGATTCTGCTCTTTAGTTTCTGTCTCTTCCAGCAAAATACTTCATTTCTGTGAGCCTTAGATCCATCTCTTCAATGGGAGTGATACTAATACTTTACTCATGAGTTATTTTACCTCAGAGAACAGTATGTAACACATAGTAGATTTCTATCATTTCTTATTCTGGGTGGGGTCGAGGAAGAAGATGAACTTTTTTTTTGAGATGGAGTTTTGCTCTTGTTGCCCAGGCTGGAGTACAATGGCACCATCTCGGCTCACTGCAACCTCCACCTCCCGGGTTCAAGCTCTTCTCCTGCCTCAGCCTCCCGAGTAGCTGGTATTACAGGCATGTGCCACCATGCCTGGCTGATTTTGAATTTTTAGTGAAACATGGTTTCTACATGTTGGTCAGGCTGGTCTCAAACTCCCAACCTCAGGTGATCTGCCCTCTCAGCCTCCCAAAGTGCTGGGATTACAAGCGTGAGCCACTGCGCCCAGCCGATGAGCTTTTGAATTTCAGAACAAGAGATTGGCAAGATGTAAATATTTAAGACATGTGGCCCTTTAAATGAAAAGTAAAGTATGTTGCATTATTTTCACACCTCCAGGACAGTGAAAATGAGATAACAGCTGAACTAGTAATATATTTGGTGTCGTATTCCAGTGACAGATCTTTGTTCTCTACCTGTGAACTGAAATAAAGACATGTGAGATGTTGTTATTAGAAACAGAAATATCCAAAGACTGTCATTGACCATGGAATAGCAGAGAAGCAATTGTAAGGATTTTAGGCCTTGAAATTAAATGGAAAGAGACCTCCCAGCCAACAAGCAGCATACATCTAGCTCTAACATAGGCTATGTATGTTTCTTACTCTAAATTCACAACAGCTTTTTATAATGCAGACTGACCATGTTGCCTCCACTTAGCACATGAAAATATTAAGATTCTAGCAAAGTTGAGAATAGAAACTTGGATTTTTAACTCAAAGAGGCTAGGGAGAGGGAAGGATTAGTTACTAAGTGCTTACTTTACATGCCAGGCCCTAGGGTTGGTGTTTTAGCCATACCGTTTTATGTAATGTAACATAAAACAAGTATCAATATTCCCTCTTTTCATTTCAGTAAACTAAAATCCAGAGAGGCAAAGAAACTTGTTCATAATTATACAGACCAGGAAGAAACAGGATTTGGACCCTAACTTACTTAATTCTGAATTTCCTGTCAGCCTCTTAGTTACCTCAGAAACAGGGTTATACTTGGAGCTCCCACCTTTTTGAGGCAATCAGTGCCTGCCTCAGGAACTTTCTAGATTCCTCATGTTAATTTTTTAAATTGGCAGGTATATCCTGGTAAGGCCTGCTGTTACATAATGTCATTAGCTTATCTTCTGTCATTGTTAACATTAACCCCTTTCAAGCTACCCTCCACAGTGGCTGTCACAAAGATTTTTTTTAAATCCCAATATGACCACAGGTGCCCCCTTACATTCCTTCTTGTTCTCAAGCTCCTTAGCTAAAGTTATACCCTAGTCTGGCATTCAAGGCTCTTTATGATCTAAGCCCAATTGGCCTTTCTACCCTTATCTCATGCTACTCTTCCCCCACGTAGGCCACCTTTCCCCCATGCTTTAGCCAGATTAAGCCACTTGGAAGTTTCCAGAAAAAAGAGCTCATTTTTATCTTCAGCTTGCGTTTTTGTACACTGTTCGCTCAATCTGGAGCACTCTTTTCCTAGCTGCCTAAATCCCACTTAACCTTTAATACTCAGTTCAGAAGTTTTCTTTTCCAGAAAGGATTGCCTAATACTGTGGTCCTACTATAATTGCAAATCAGGGGTTCCTCTCTATGCCCCCGTGTTAAGTGTTCCATAAACAGTGATGATAATATTAGTAGTAGTTGTTATTCTTAGTCAGGAGATATTACTTAAAGGATGCTTTTTATACTTAGAAAATGCTCAGTAATCTCCTTCAACTACACAGGTGCTCTACTGACTGCCTTTGCAGGGAGAAACCATTGAGGTCAAAATTCTGATTAATGAAAAAAAAACCAAAAAACCTGTTCTGATTCTACAAATCAAACCTAATCGTAGGCTGGGAATAAAAACTGTTTTATTTAAAAATGGAAATACCCTGTCCCTCCCCTAGAATTTGTCAAAACCTTAAGATGCATCATCCTGGCGGGATATTTGTAACTGAAGGACTAGTAAACAGTACTATCACCTTTTTTAAACATATTGAATGTATACAGTGTGTGTAATAGGTACAGAATGCCTTGGGGGCCCCAAAATATTGCTGCCTATGAAGGAACCTGGAATAATAGAAAGAAGTGTGTGCTTTGGGTCCAGAAGGACCTGTGTTTTAATCTTTGATTCACTAATTACTCTCTTATGCTTTTGGCCAAGCAAATTCTCTTTTTGTGCTAAAAGTTATATGAGTGTGCTTCTGACTGCCTTTCTTGACTTATGTTTCCTTTCAGCTATCAGAGAAGATGGCATGCCTGGAGGCCGGAATAAGAGCATTGGGCCAGTCCAGGTGAGTTCTAGACCTCAATCCCTGTGGTCCATCCTGGAAGCCCAGGACTCCAGCTGTTCCTGAAACTGCTCACCTTGATTCTTTCACCTGCTGCTGAGGAGAGCCATCTTTGTTTTCATTTCTGTAAAAGTGCTTTGAAACTCTTAAATATGTAAGTTAATGATTAAAGCTCTTCTCGTGATCCCTCAGCCTTTTGTAAGGATTTCACAGACAGTGAACCCACTTATGGTTCTGAACCATGCAGAGGATTTTTTGATCAACCCTTAAGGTTATAGATAAGTAAGGCTGGCAGAAATGAGCAGGACTACTTTGCTGTTCGTTTCATCTAAAAAATGTACCAGCAGGGTATTATTGTCTTATTGTAGAGTAGGAATGATATACCCCCATTCAGTCCCACAAACATTTACTGAGTTCCTACTCTTCCAGGCCCTATACTGTGAACTCAGTCTAATGGGAGAGACAGAGAGGTAAACAGACATAATAGTAAGGTGAGAGGTAACAGAGGATGCTCAGGGACTACAGAGGGAGGGGCATCTATTCTGCTTGGGCTAGAATAGCCTTGGTTGGGGACTAGAGACACTCAAGAAAATAGACTGTGAAAAGACCCAAAGATGAATCTTTATGACAAGGAGTTTGTTCAGTTAGGCTGGAACATTGGGCACATGTAGTAGAGTGGCAGAAGATAAGGCAGATTCCTTGAATTTGGAATCAGTTCATTAGGGAGTGGCCTTCAACTGTCTTTGACTACAGCTCCTTAGGAAAAGTCTTTGTGGGACCAGCCTACACCACTTGTTCTTACTCATTGTTCTTACTTGCCAGCAGAAGAGCTTCATGAGGGTAGAAAATTGGATATATTTCTGCCCATCAGGTGAATCCCTTGGCACACTAGTAGGCAGAGAGCATGCCTTAGGAATTACTAGTGGCCAGGAGCAGTGACACACGCCTGTAATCCCAGCACTTTGGGTGGCTGAGGCAGGAAGATTGCTTGAGGCCAGGAGTTCAAGACTAGCCTGGGCGACATAGCAAGACAGACCCTGTGTCTACCAAAATAAAATAAAAATTTTAAAAACTATTATTGTTACTGGTATGAGCCAAGAGGCAACTACTAAAAGGTTTTATTTAGATTTGCATTTTAGAAAGATCATTCTGGCAGGTAGAAATGGTTTGTGAGGAGTGAGGTGAGGATGAGTGAAACTGAGGGAGAGAGAAAGCAGTTAGAAGGTTTTTACAGAAGTACAGGTGAGAGATACAGATAATAGTTAAAGCAGAGCAATGGCAGTGCAGATTGAGGGGAGATAATAGACTCAAGAGATATTTACTGGGTAAGTTTATAGGATTTAGCCAGTTAAATGTGAGGGAATGAAAGAAAGGTGTTCACAGTTGTCTTAAGACATACACTGATGATGTTTGGAGGATTTCCTGTCACATGAGCACAGCATACATTCAGTCAGGCTGTGTGACTCCCAACTCTGCTGTATTTATTCTTTTTTTCTAAAACATTTCTATTCTCGTTTTTCAAGTCAGATATATGTCTTATAAATTCTTTTTGTTTTTTGGTCTGGACTAATAGCTGCTCTTTTTTATTATGGCAGAAGTAAAAACCATATAACATGAAATCTACCTTTTAAACAAAATTTTAATCACATAGTACAGTGTTGTTAACTATATGCACACTCTGATACAGCAAATCTTTAGAACTTTTTCATCTTACGTGACTGAAACGCTATACCCATTAGACAACAGTTCCTCATTTTCCTCTCCCTTTGCCCATGGCAGCCATCATTCCACTTTCTGCTTATAAGAGTTTGACTACTTTAGATACCTCATAAAGTGGAATCATGCAGTATTTGTGCTTCTGTGACTAGTTTATTTCACTTGGTGTAATGTCATCATGGTTCATCCTTGGCATAGCTTATAATGACTTCCTTCTTTTTTAAGGTGTTTTATGTGTATATCACATTTTCTTATGCATTTCTCTGTCATCGGACACTTACACGTTGTATTCACTTCTTGACTATTTTGAATAATGCTGCAGTGAACGTAGGAGTGCAGTTATCTCTTCACAATCCTGATTTCAGTTCTTTTGGATAAATACCCGTAGATGGGATTGCTGGATCCTATGGTGGTTCTATTTTTACCTTTTTTGGGACCCTCCATGCTGTTTTCCATAGTGGTTGCACCATTTTACATTCCCACTAACGGTGCACAAGGTTTCCATTTCTTCACGTCCTTGCCAGCACTTGTTATTTTCTGGACTTTTTTGTTTGTTTGTTTTTGGGTTTTTTGGGTGGTTGTTGTTGTCTTCTTTTGCATATAACAGACATCCTAACAGGTGTGAGTTAATATCTTCAAGTTTTGATTTGTATTTTCCTGATGATAAGTGATGTTGAGCATCTTTTTATATACCTATTGGTCATATGTCTTCTTTGGAGAAATGTCTGCTCAAGTTTCTTGTTCATTTTTCAATGTGTTTTGTTTTGTTTTTTTTCTGTTACTGAGTTACGGGAGTTCCTTGTATATTGTGGATGTTGACCCCTTATCAAATGTATGGTAATATATTCTCCCATTTCATAGGGTATCTTTTTACCCTGTTGATTGTTTCCTTTGTTGCACAGAAGCTTTTTAGTTTAATGTAGTCACACTTGGCTGGTTTTGTTCTGTTTTCTGTACTTTTGGTGTTGTATCCAAGAAATCACTGCCAAGACCAGTTTTATGAAGATTTTCCCCTGTGTTTTCTCCAAGGAGTTTTATAGTTTTAGGTCTTATATTTAAATATTTAATCTATTTTGAGGTTGACGTCTGTGAACGGTATAAGGGTTCGACGTCTTTTGGGGGGTGGGGGCGGGGCACGTGGATGTAGTTTTCCCAGCACTGTTTGTTGAAGAGAGTATCCAAAATGTGGTGGTAGAAAGCCTCACAAAGGACATGACATTTGGGGTTTTTTTGTTTGGTTTTGTTTTGTCTTCTTTTGAGACAGGGTCTTGCTCTGTCACCCAGGCTGGGGTGGGTTAGTGCGATCATGGCTCACTAGAGCCTCAGTCTTCTGAGCTTAGGCCAGAATCTCCTGCCTCAGTCTCTTGAGTAGCTAGGACTACAGGCATGCACTACCAGGCCCAACTAATTTTTCTATTTTTTGTAGAGATGGGTTTCACCATGTTGCCCAGGCTGGTCTTGAACTTCTGGAACTCTCAAAGTTTTGGGATTACAGGCATGAGCCACCATGCCTGGCAAGAGGTGACATTTGAATTGAATCTTAAAGGACAAGTAGGAGATTGTCATTGAGGAGTGGTGTTTCAGGGTTAGGAAAGAATAGCCTCAAGGACAAAAAGGAGTTGAAAGAACCTCGAGGCTTCATGGCTTGAGAGTAGTATAAATGAGTAGGAGGAAGGCCACGAAGGGCCATGGTGCCAGGAGGAAGGAAGGCACGCTGTCCTAAGATTAGTGAGAGGCCCGGAGTATGGGGATCGAGGAGAGGGAACCTAGGTTTCTGGGAAATACTATGAGATTTAAATAAGCTCTCAGTCCTGAAGAAAGAACAGAGAGTGTCTTGAGCACCCATCTAACATGTCTCAATTCCTTGTCAAAGATATCAGAAGAAGAAATCGAAAGGATCATGTCTGGGCAGGAGTTTGAGGAAGAGGCCAATCACTGGAGCAACCATGGTGATAGTGACCACAGTTCCCCTGGGAACAGGGCTTCGGAGAGCAACCAGCCCTCACCAGGCTCCACACTGTCCTCCAGGTGAGCTTTAAGGCAAACCCATGATCATCATCTAAGGATCCCCCACCAAGGGGAGACCCACAGAAAACCTCTGGCTGAGTGTCCCTGCCAGGCTGTCTCAGCCATTGTACTGTTGCTCCCTCAGACTCTTGGAGTAGGGGTCAGGATGATTGAAAACAGTGTTTCCCAGCCCCTTTTATGCTAAAGACCTTGAAAATGTCAGTGGTCTCTTCTGCAGACTGATAAAGTGCTGTAGCTTCTATCCATGCCCATGTATTCTTCACCTAACAGAATAACATTTTTAATGTAGCCATTTTCTCTCGTTTATTTTATCACTGAAATAAACCTTTTTGACAGTTTTGAATTAAACTATAATTTCTCTGCCTCACAAGAGTCAATGTTTTTCACTTTATAAATTTTAAGAAACATTGAAGACTTTTTAAGCCAGTCAGATTTGCTGCTATCAGAGAATGCAAACTTAGAAACTCTTGGTTCAAGCATATCTTTAGTTAGTTGTCAAGTGTGAAATAGAGCCTTCAGCTGTTAGGGAAGGTTTCCTTTCCCCAGAAACCTTTCTTATAGGATATAAATTGACAAACTTTTTCTGCAAAGGCCAGATAGTAAATATTTTCAGCTTTCCGGGCCTAGTGGTTTGGAGCTCAGCTTCTCCATTCTGCCTTTGTAGTGTGAAAATAACCATGGCCATGGACAGTATGTGAACCAGTGAGCATGGCTGTGTTCCAAAATAGGCAGTGGGCTGGATTTAGCTTGCAAACCAAAGTTTGCCAGCCCCAGTTATAGGAGATACACTTAGGCAAAAGCTGGAGGATTTTTTTTTTCTTAAGAGATGCCAGGCATGGTGGCTCACACCTGTATTCCCAGCACTTTGGGAGGTCAAGGTGGGTAGATTGCTTAAGTCCAGGAGTTCAAGACCAGCCTGGGCAATATGGCAAGACTTTTTTTTTTTTTTTTTTAATTAAATACTTTTTTTAAAAAAAAGAGATGAAGTATTGCTATGTTGCCCAGGCTTGTCTCAAATTCCTAGCCTTAAGTGATCCTCCCACCTCAGCCTCCCAAGTAGCTGAAACTGTAGGTGCACACCACTGTGGCTGGCTTAGTTTTTTTTTTTTAATTAGTTGATAGAGTGGTTAGCTTTCTGCAAGAAAGAAAAGGAAGGCAAAAATCTACCTTTCTCTTCATATTTAATTAAAGCTTTTATCCCATTCAGGTGTCCCTTAGTTTGTTCCTTCCTTGGACTATTTAGGGGGTTGTTGCTGCATGCCGGGTTCCTTGCTAGATGCTGGATTTGTTTTGTAGCCAGGCACTTAGCCTGTCTGTGCCTTAGTTTTCCTAGCAGTAATATATATACCCACTTTGCCATCTGTTAAAAAACTGTCCAGACATGGCACCTATACAGAGAATTCATTCAACCAATATTTATTCATTACCTACTCTGCCATGCACTTAGTGTCCAGTGGTGACCCCGACATTCATATACCCATAGAGTCTTTGTCTCACAGATGGGAATCTAGTAGGAGAGACATGAATTTAACTATTAATTATGCCCCCTGGCTTGATGAAGACCCAGACCTCATGGCCAAAGAATACCTAAAGTCACCTTCTGGCTCACTTCCTTTGAGTAATTACTAGACTTGCCATGGCTCTGTTTGATGCAAGACTTTTCTCTCCAGTAGGTCTGTGGAACTAAATGGATTCATGGCATTCAGGGAACAGTACATGGGAATGTCTGTGCCTCCACATTACCAATACATACCGCACCTTTTTAGCTATTCTGGCCACTCACCGCTTCTGCCCCCACAAGCTCGCAGCCTGGATCCCCAGTCATACAGTCTGATTCACCAGCTGTTATCAGCCGAGGACCTGGAGCCACTGGGCACGCCCATGTTGATCGAAGATGGGTGAGTGAGCTCCGCCCTTCTTGGCCCCTTGCAGTCTCAAAGTGTCCTGACCCCACACCCACTCGCATCCCTGGCTGCTATACCCGTGGCTTCAGAATGAGTTGGGCGAATAATGACTCAAGCATCAGGGGACAAATCTGTGCTAATCTTTGAAACCAGTGATCCCTTATTTTTTCCTTAAGCATCATTTCTCATAGAGTTGAGGTTACTTTCCAGTTCCTGTGGAATTGAGATAGAAGGGCCTTTGTTTCTGCTTGGGCCTAGTTAAGCCAGGTCCTGGCATGGGTCGGAGCACTTCCGTGATAGAGATGAGCAGTAATTCTGGGGATAGTCATATATCCAATATAGGCTCCTTCACAAAGCCCTAGCTGGTTGTAGCCTGTCTGCACCCCTCACCAGCATCCCCATGGCTAGCCTGGTGGCACGTGACCACTTTAGGTGCAGACTCGAGTGGGTGGAAGGAGTATTCTTCCAGTCTTTAGTCAGCCGTATGTGAGGCGATGATAGTTCAGCCTTCGGGCCTACCCATTGCTGCATCCATTACTCCTTTGGCCTAGAGCATAAGCGAATGTGTGTTACCAAGCTTAGACCTCCAAGGAACATACACTGAGATTTCTTAAGCTAGTCTCCAGTTTCAGAAGAGGAGATTAAAATATCTACCCACAAGGAGGTCACACAAACCCTTTATAAATCTGGATGTAGGAAGCCGGGCGTGGTGGCTTATGCCTGTAATCCCAGCACTTTCGGAGGCCTAGGTGGGCAGATCACAAGGTTACGAGTTCCAGACGAGCCTGGCCAACATGATGAAACCCCATGTGTACTAAAAATACAAAAATTAGCTGGGTATGGTGGCCGCGTGCCTGTAATCCCAGCTACTCAGGAAGCTGAGGCAGGAGAATTGCTTGAACCCGGGAAGTGAAGCTTGCAGTGAGCCGAGATTGCGCCACTGCACTCCAGTTCTGGGCGGCAGAGCGAAATTCCGTCTCAAAAAAAAAAAAATTTAGATGTAGGAGTGTGAGGAAAAGTCTTGGCAAGGGGCCTTGAGAGGAAGGAAGCTGAAACTCTTGGGTCTGTGGGTCTGTGGTCTCAAAGGCCCCTTTTATTCCAGCTTTAGCTTAAAGGAAAGGCTGAGCAATGCTGGTTCCTGAACTCACCACCAGGGGGTGGACTGAGAGCAGAAAAAGCTTCTGAACTTGTTCTGTTCTCTTCAGCGGTCTGGATGTGAGGCTTATTTTTGTCCAGTTCCTTTGTTGGGTGGGCATCAGATCCACCCCATGAGAGTTCCATTGCCAGAACTTGAACAGGAGTGACTGGGATTTTCTCTAAGACATGGAACATTAGAGAACACCAACAATAAAAGTCATATTCCCTGACAATTGGACACGTTTCTCTCTTTTTTTTTTTTTTTTTTTAAGACAGTCTTGCTCTGTCGCCCAGGCTGGAGTGCAGTGGCACGATCTTGGCTCACTGCAACCTCTGCCTCTCAGGTTCAAGTGATTCTTCTGCCTCAGCCTCTCGAGTAGCTGGGATTACAGGCATGTGCCACCACACCCGGCTAAATTTTGTGTTTTTAGTAGAGATGGGGTTTCACCATGTTGGCCAGGCTGGTCTCGAACTCCTGACCTCAAGTGATCCACCTGCCTTGGCCTCCCAAAGTGCTGGGATTACAGGCATGAGCCATTGCACCCAGCCAATTGCACACATTTCTAAGTCTCCTTTCCCCTCAGCAGCCTTTCCTCATCAGACCCACCTCTCCAGCCCTGAGCTTGCTGTGCGCCTCAGCCCTCCCCCTTTATCAGAAAATCACACTGAATGGAACTGGAGACCTGTGGGCATGGAGCAAGGGAGCCCATTGCCAGAGTCCCTTTGTGCCCTTGGGACTACCTTTTCTCTGTACCCTCATCCTCACCCTCTGACCAATGGAAGTGATTTTCCCCTGTCCCTGCCCCTCAGATACGCTGTGACACAGGCAGAACTGTTTGCCCTGCTTTGCCGCCTGGCCGACGAGCTGCTCTTTAGGCAGATTGCCTGGATCAAGAAACTGCCTTTCTTCTGCGAGCTCTCAATCAAGGATTACACGTGCCTCTTGAGCTCCACATGGCAGGAGCTAATCCTGCTGTCCTCCCTCACCGTTTACAGCAAGCAGATCTTTGGGGAACTGGCTGATGTCACTGCCAAGTACTCACCCTCCGATGAAGAATTACACAGGTGAGGGCTCCTGGCTGGGGAGGAAATACCAAACAACCAAACCATTGTCATCTCTGTAAGGCTGAGTTGCCTGGCCCTTCAGAGGATAGAGGATAGGCACTACACCACATAGGCCTGGATTTGAATCCTCACTCTGCCACTCATTAGATTTGTGACCTTAGCCAAGTCTCTGATCCTCAGGTTCTGAACTGGTAAAATGGAGTGATAACGGAATTTCCCCAGTAAGATGGTTGTTAAGAATAAATTTTTTGTATTCAAGCTTAGCAGAATGCTAAGCTGTAGTTTTTTAAAAAATTATTTTTTGAGACAGAGTCTCACTCTGGCACCCAGGCTGGAGTATAGTGGCATGATCTTGGCTCACTGCAACCTCTGCCTCCCTGGTTCAAGTGATTCTCCTGCCTCAGCCTCCCAAGTAGTTGGGATTACAGGTGCCTGCCACCACACCTGGCTAATTTTTGTATTTTTAGTAGAGACAGGGTTTCACCATGTTGGCCAGGCTGGTCTCAAACTGCTGACCTCAAGTGATCCACCCGCCTTAGCCTCTCAAAATGCTGGGATTACAGGCATGAGCCACCACACCCAGCTGATCTTTATTATACTTGGATTACTGAGATAACACATCCAGGAAAAACAAAAATGTAAATTCTGCCTACAAGGCAAGAGGGGCTTTGAACTGGAATTTACAATCCAGGAAAAAGACCTAGGGGTCATTTTGGTACCTATAGTGTGCCAGGCACTAGGCTAGATTTGTTTTTTTGAGACAGTGTCTCTGTCACCCAGGCTGGAGGGCAGTGGTGCGATCTTGGCTCACTGCAAGCTCCGCCTCCCAGGTTCATGCCATTCTCCCGCCTTAGCCTCCCGAGTAACTGGGACTACAGGCGCCCACCACCATGCCTGGCTAATTTTTTGTGTATTTAGTAGAGATGGAGTTTCACCGTGTTAGCCAGGATGGTCTCTATCTCCTGACCTCGTGATCCGCCTGCCTCGGCCTCCCAAAGTGCTGGGATTACAGGTGTGAGCCACCGCGCCCGGCTTAGGCTAGATATTTTTAATTGTCTTCTTTCTTTCTCACAGCCTCCAGCCTTATAGGTGGTGGTGTGCCTATTTTATAGATGAGAAAACTGAAGTTCAGAAAGAGACTTCCCCATAAGGGTTTGGGATTTGAATCCAGAGCCTTAGATTTGAGCATATGCCTGCCTGCCTGAAAAGCTTAGGTTCTTTGAGTCCATATGAGATGTGGTGAGATGTTGAAAGCATAGGACTAGAAGACTGAGCTGTTCTCTTTGTCATTTTCTGGCATAAAATTTTATCTCAGCTGGCCAGTATCCTTATAACCTCCTTGTCCAGAGTGGGTAGTCTCCCTGCTGTTCTGGGGCCTGTCCAAGCACACTTTTTACTCATTTACTCTGCAGACCTGGAGCACAGGGCAACCATATTTTCTGACCCCTAAAATCAAGACAAATGATCTGCTGAGATGACTTTCTGCCTTGTTAATTAATCCATATGAAAAGTCTTATAGCCAGGCATGTGGCTCACACCTGCACATCCCGGCACTTTGAGAGGCCAAGGCAAGTGGATCATCTGAGGTTGGGAGTTCGAGACCAGCCTGACTAACATGGAGAAACCCTGTCTCTACAAAAATTAGCCAGGCATGGTGGCGCATGCCTGTAATCCCAGCTACTCGGGAGGCTGAGGCAGAAGAATTGCTTGAACTTGGGAGGTGGAAGTTGCAGTGAGCCGAGATTGTGCCATTGCACTCCAGCCTGGGCAACAAGAGTGAAACTCCGTCTCAGGAAAAAAAAAAAAAAAAAAAAGTCTTATAATGCTGAATTCGTAAATAGACATTTCAATAAATGACCTTTATTGGCTAGTTCAAAAGTCATGGGATTCCAGGGCACCAAGAAGAAAAGAAAAGGTGCCCCTGGCTGGGCGCGGTGGCTCACGCCTGTAATCCCAGCACTTTGGGAGGCCGAGGTGGGTGGATCACGAGGTCAGGAGATCGAGACCATCCCGGCTAACACGGTGAAACCCCGTCTCTACTAAAAATACAAAAATTAGCCGGGTGTGGTGGCGGACACCTGTAGTCCCAGCTACTTTGGAGGCTGAGACAGGAGAATGGTGTGAACCCGGGTAGGCAGAGCTTGCAGTGAGCCGAGTTCGTGCCACTGCACTTCAGCCTGGGTGACAGAGCAAGACTCTGTTTCAAAAAAAAGAAAAAAAGGTGCCCCTATCCATGAAAGCTGGAGAGGGGAAAGTAGCAGCTCTTACACTTTTCTTCACAGAACTGGAGTCCATCTCCCCCTGCCACCCAGTTGTGGCATAAAGACAAACCAAGGCTCAAGCAGAGAACAGTGCTCCAAGACTTGCAAGGGCCCTTTGCACAGCTAGGGGAGGGGGGATTCAGCTTGCTGACCCTCTGTGCTTGTTTTCTAATATTTCCTTATTAATGATGCTTACTGGCTTCAGGGTGATCTATAAATGACAGAGTTTTGAACCCAGCTGACACTCTGTCTGGTAAACAGAGCTATCTGATTTTGCAGTTGACCTAACCCCTTGTCCAGAGCCTCTAATTCATTGTTTCCATCAAATTCCTGTCTCCTGCTGCATAACTCTGCTCCATAGGGGTGTTTGGATAGCAGTCAGTCTGCTCTGATGCTGTCAGGGTTTGCAGAGCTGGCCCAAGGAGCCCAGCCTCTCTGGGTGCCTGGAATCTACCAGTTTAGCCTGGGACTACAGGATCAGCCTTTGGACTCCACTCCTGAGTAATGGGTTTGCCCAGGCCCTCTGCAGGCAGGGAAGGGTCACTGGCTTTACAGGGTTCTCTTTGGCTTTGAGCTTCATAAGGCATCCCACTTCACTGTAGCCAGGCCCTTAAGCCCCAAGACCAAGGCAAAAGTCAGTAACAGCAGTAGTGAGGAAACTTCCTTCCTTGGTAGGAATTTTTCTAATCAAGGAGGATCTAAAGCTGTACTGTCCACTATGGTAGCCACTAGCCTCATGTGGCTTTTAAAATATAAATTTATTAAAAATAGAAATGTAGTTCTCATTTGCACCAGCCACATTTCAAGTGCTCAATAGCCACGTGGCTAGTGGCTGCTAGTACAAATTAAGATCATTTTTATCATCACATAAAGTTTTATTGAACGTTGCTGTCTTTAGAACGTGTGTTGCTGCTGAGCTGTCAAGTGGGTTCTGAGAAGAGGAAATGGATTTGTTGTTGGACTCTACTGTGGAATCCATCGATGGAAAAATAACAGTTAAACTTCAACACATTAGTTCTGATTCCATGGCCATTTACTGAGTATCGTGTGTTTTGTGGGGAGGAAGCTGGGATCACAGGTGATGCAGACATGGTTTCTGACTCAGAGTCCGTATCCTTGATTTAGGGGACTGGGAGGCAAAAAGAAGCAGATACAACGTACAGTGCAGGGTTGTGTTGGTGGAGATGACGGGGCATCTGAAGAGAACTGTACAAGCATAGACCGAGGAGTGAGTACGTCTGTTCGCAGGGTCGGGGAAAACTTAAGAGAGGAACAGACATTCGAGCTGCACCTTGAAGTGGGTATTTCTAGGTACATTGTAGAGAACAGGAAGGTAGGAGATAACACAAAGTCCTAGAAGTTAGAGATCCTGGATGGTTGCTATGTGCAGGGAATCAAAAGCAATTCTGTGGATTTAGTACCCTAATGTGAATGTATCTAAGACAGAGAAATGAGGGGAGAATTGACTAGAGAGAAAGATACAGGCAAGGCAGGTCATGAAGGTGCTCAAATGTCAATCTAAGTAATTTGGGATTTGTTGTGTAAATAGTATTAAGTCTTGGGAAGTTTTTAAGTGGAGGAGTTACACAGGTTGCATTTTAGAAAGATTTCTATGGCAATAAAGTTCAGGATGGATTGGCGTGGACAAGACTGGAGCATCGTGGCTGGGTAGGAAGGAGGCTGTTCCATAGCCCAGGTAAAAGAGAATAAGACCTGGACAAAGCAGCAGTGACTGTGGAGACAGAGAGGGGAGCACAAAGCCAAGAGATGTCAAGGAGATAAAGTCAGTGGGACTTCAGTGAGTGGAAAATGTCGGAGATGACTGCTGAGTTTTTGGACTAGCCAGGCAGGTGCCTTTGGACTAGCCAGGCAGGTGGGCACCAATTTTCTTAGCCAGGATGAAGGAGCAGGGAAGAACAGGATGGGAGATGAGTAATGAGTTTGGTTTGGGTGTCTGTGGAGTCTGAGATGCATGTGGAACTGCCTAGGACGTCATAGGAAGTGGAAGAACCTCTGGAGTCAGGTTAACCACTGGAAAGCAGTAACCTGTCTGCTAGAAACCCAGGTTGTGGAGTCTGTAATTGGCCATACCACTCTCCTACCTTGCCTGCTACTGCCTTGCTCCCACTCCCCCAGATGGCCTTTACTTCTTCACAACTCTTGAGTGCAAGTGAGTTCCTGCTGTCATGGAAAGGCTTTTCCCAGATGATACATGATCACCTCCTTTTTCTCTTCTCAAATATTGAATCAAATTTATGGTGCCCATATTCCTTAATCAGACTGTTATCAGACAGTGAACCGGGTGAATTTGATTTAAAGCAGATTGTAGCACCAGCCAGTGACTGCTCCTGGCCCTAATCAAGACTCCTCTCAAGAGAAGATGCCTTGAGCTAGATGGGCTTTAATGGGCACTTCTATCTCAGCACCAGCTCCATTTCTGCCAGATCTCTGGAAAGTGGCCTCCCAGCTTCCCTGCCTAACTATAAGGCTTAGGAAACAGGCTTTTATTTTTGCTACAATAATGGGAGAGATGATGATGATGCTGTTTGTAGTGATAACAGCTAACAATTATGCCAAATTCTGTCTTAAATGCCTTACATATATTATCTGTTGAATTCTTAATGCTACCTTGTGTGACTGGCACTAATATTATCCCTGTTCTAGAGATGAGGAGCATGAGGTTGAGAGAGGTGAAAACTAAAGGCTACAAAGCTAGAGAGAGATGGAGCTAAGTTTATCACCTGTGTCTGTTGTGCTCCAATGCCCAGCCTCTTTAACATTGCCTTATACTAAATTCTTATTTTCCCAGAGCATTTTCAGAAGGTTTGACTTTCTGGAATTTGTCCTGAAACTAGTCTTGGTTTTCATCTTGGAGTCTGTACATGGGTGCTGAGATGGCAATTTCTCTAAGGTTGTGGCTGATGGCCACTCCTGGGGGTAGGTGCATTTAGATGAATGAAAAAGAGACAACTGAGTCTCTCAGCCCCCTTAATGGGACATAACTTACATAGTGTCAGTTTGAATTGCTGACTGAATGGTCCAGTGGTTTGGGGGATCCTGGCAGGAATGTTTTCCTTGTCCCAGCATGCTTGTGTAATGGGAACCTAGAAGAAGAATGGGTGTGTTTGTCCAACTTTCTGGCTTTGAATGCTGATAATTTGTAGACAGTGAATACAGGGGCATTAAAACTGGAGTGGGCAGATGTGGAGGAGGCACGGCTACAGGCAAAGGCAGGCCCATGGAACAGAGAACAACTTTGTTTATCAAGGGGTGGGATGCGGGGTGTGGAGGAAAGCTTTGCAGTCAGGCAGTGGAGACTGAGTGGGGGCTGCCGGGCTAGCTGCCAGCCCCCACCACTACTGGGGGTCCATGGTGGCTGCCTGTTGGAGGAATTTTGGAAAAGAGGGATGTGCTGTCCCAAGAGAAAGGGCAGATCAGGGCATATGGACAGGCCAGGCACTTGGGAACTCCTTTGTGTCCCTCAGGTTAAGAGTCAGCCAGGAACAGGTTTGGCACTCCTGGCTAGGGGTCTGGCTGATAGCCACACACCTGCAGGGTCTAGAGTGCCAGAGTGAACACTTGGGGTAGGGGGTTGCTGATTAAAGGACAGAGCATTATCTTTGCTTGCTACATACTCCGCCACCAGACAGATGCTGACACTGCCTCTCCCCTTGAGTCCTCCTTTTTTATGCCCTGCCCCATTTCATCCCCACCCCTCCAGGCAGATACTGAAAGAAATTGGCAATAAAGAACTTTTTTTCCCACTCTCAAGAACATAAATATCCAACAGAGTGCTATGATGAGGAGTGGTCTTCACTCCCAGGCATACCGCCTCCTGCAAGTCAGCATCCTGGAGGTACTTGCAGGGACAGTTCTGTGCACTGTAGCAGACCTGACAGCCTCCCAGGGCTGGGCCCTGCTCTGAGTTACGGTGGGGACACAACTCCTGAGGTCCCCTGTGGTAGTATGTGGTTAGCCTTTTCCAGGTAGCAGCTAAGAACAAGACAGGATCAAGGGTGGGCAGTGTAGTGCTGAGGAAAGTCCCTATGCTTGGAATTAGAAAACTTAGGTTTGAACATTGGCCTCATCACCACTACCATTTACTTCCCGTGCAACCTTGGGGTAGCCACCTCTTTTTCTGCTTCCTCATCCCTAACATGGTGGTGATACCATGTATCCTTCCAGGTTATCAGCAAGGTAAAGTGTAAGAATGCATATGAAAAGGCCTAATACATAATAGAGACTCAGTAAATAACTCCCTGAGCCTTCATTTCCACATGTGAACAAAGGGGGTTATGATTTGTATCCATTCTGTGAATTTATTGGGAATATCAATAAGATTAAATGTCTGTAGAATACTTAATGTGCCTGGCAGGTAGCAAACACTCAACGAATGGTAGAATGGTAGAAACGGTATTATAGATTGGTGGTTATTGTGGTTATTCAATATGAATCTATCGGCCAGGCTGGGAACATATCAGTAAAGTTGTAAAAGCCATTGGGCCAGGTACAGAGAAACTGAGTCAGCCATAGTAGCTCAGATCAGCTAAAAGAATCCCCAGCTCGTACTGGGAGCCATGCCAAGGCCGAAGGTCAGAGTTCCAGATTGCATGTGCAGTCATCTCTCAGTATCCGTGGAGGATTGCTTCCAGGATCCCCATGGATACCAAAATCTACAGATGTTCAAGTCCTTCATATAAAATGGTGCAGTATTTGTGTATAACCTATGCATATCTTCCTGTATATTTTAAATCAGCTCTAGAATCTTTATAATACTGGATGCAATATAAATGATGTAAATGCCATGTAAATAGCTATTACATTGGTTTTTGGTTTGGGAGAGTTTCTTGTTTTTTTTTCTTTTTCGGGTTTTTTAGTTGGTTGGTTTTGTTTTGTTTGTTTGTTTGTTTTCGTGAGACAGGGTCTCACTCTATCGCCCAGGCTAGTGCAGTGATAACAGTCACAGCTCACTGCAACCTACCATGTTCAGGTGATCCTCCCACCTCAGCCTCCCAAGTAGCTGGGACCGCAGGCATGCACTACCATGCCCAGCTAATTTTTGTATTTTTTGTAAAGATGGAGTTTTGCCATGTTGCCCAGGCTGGTAGCGAACTTCTGGGCTCAAGCAGTCTTCCTGCCTCAGCCTCTCAAGGTGCTTGGACTACAGGTGTGAGCCACTACACACAGCCATTATACTGTATTTTAAAAATTTGTCTTTTTTATTGTTGTATTGTTTTTTTTAAAATATTTTGATGCAGTTGGTGGAACCCAGAGATATAGAACCCATGGATACTGAGAACTAGCTCTACCTGCTGCTGAGGCTCCCCTTGGTGCTTAAAAAGGGCAGGAGCCTCCGGCCCCAACCAGAGCCAGGCTTTCCCCAAGCAAGAGAAAGTGTCCTGCTTGTCCAGGAAGGCAAAGCCTGCAAAGCCTTCAAAGTTAACACAGAAAACAGTAGATTCCAGAAAGCAATAGTTCATCCCCAGGTATTCTGGGCCCTACCCAGATATAGGGCCTTCTTGGCCTGGCACAGGGCTGTATTACACAGATCTGAAGATGTCACCAGGAAGCAGGCCTGAAACTAAGCTGCTTCTCTTTGTGACTGAGCTGTATCTGAGGCCCATTTGGGACCCACTGCCCACTAGCCAGGCCACTCCTAGAATGACTCAGGCCAGACTTGACTGCGTCTTTTATAAACTCCTGCTTCCTGGTTAAGTGTTTGCCTGCTTGGTTTGATGGTATCTCCATCTCTGGTATGAAGTATACCCAAAACATTAATCCCCTGGGCTGGCCTAGCCTGGGGCTCTGTTGCCTAAAACTTGGACTTTCCCCAGAGAGCTCACTCCTAGACCCAAAGAAAGGAGCATGGGGGCTTTGAGTCTCCTCTGCTAGGATATACCACCTTAGATATTAGAAAAACCAAGGCCTTGGGTTCAGGTTCCAAATTCCTACTCTGTCACCAATTAACTGTGTATTTGTGGACCAGATCCCTCCCTTCTTTGAACTTCAGTTGCTCATCTGTACAGTGGTGATAGGGTTGAGAGAATTAAATGTGATAATGCTCATGAAGTGCCTAGCACAGAGGATGGCGTGATATGGAAACTCAGTTAACATTTTCCTCCCTCCTGCGAAAGTCAGGGATGCCAATAAAAATTTTCACTATGCAGGTTGGGCACGGTGGCTCATGCCTGTAATCCCAGCACTTTGGGAGGCCAAGGCAGGCGGATCACGAGGTCAGGAGATCAAGACCACCCTGGCTAACATGGTGAAACCCCGTCTCTACTAAAAATACAAAAAAATTAGCTGGATGTGGTGGCAGGTGCCTATAATCCCAGCTACTCGGGAGGCTGAGGGAGAAGAATCGTTTGAACCTAGGAGGCGGAGGTTGCAGTGAGCCGAGATCGCGCCATTGCACTCCAGCCTGGGTGACAGAGCAAGACTCCCATCTCAAAAAAAAAAAAAAAAAAAAAAATTCGCTATGCATAACCTCAGCTCTGCTGGAAGCAGTTAACATAAGCAAATACAATCAGCAGCTTTTTTTGCAGTGTGGCAGAGTCTCACATAGAGTCACCATGGCAGCTGCCATTGATACCAGAGACTGCATCTCAACAATAGCTGTATCTTAATAATGTTGTGTTTCTCCACATTTATATCCCAGACCTTCTTTGGCCCTTGTTAGCCGAAGAATGCAAGCATTATCATTTTGCAGAGGAGGACCTCAAAGCATAGGGGGGTCAGATGACCTTGCCAAGATCTCATAGCTTGTGTGTGATGGAGCTGGATTTGAACCTAGATTGACTCTACCTGACCTTGGGAAAAGCAGCTTGCATGAGCTACGTTGGCCTGTAGACAAAGCATGGATCTGCCTGTACTTCCCAAATGGCTTTGGATCCCATTTCCTCCAAGCTCAGCCTGTTGAAGGAGCTGTAGGAGCTCTTTGGCTGCCCTTTCCTGGCCCCTACTGGTATGACAACCAACTGTTAACACCTGTGTCTGTTCCCCAGATTTAGTGATGAAGGGATGGAGGTGATCGAGCGGCTCATCTACCTCTATCACAAGTTCCATCAGCTAAAGGTCAGCAATGAGGAGTATGCTTGCATGAAAGCAATTAACTTCCTAAATCAAGGTGAGTGGCTGGGGTAGGAAAACGGACCTTTGCGGGGGCCAGGGGGGTCGGTGACATTTGATTTGCCCTCCTGTTTCACCCCTCCTTACCCTCAGGACTGTCACACAGAATCCATCACACCATCTAGGTTTCAATCCAGGAAGACTTGTGCACCCCCTTGTCATCACCCTGACCCTTTATAGTACAGGGAATGCGGGAATGCTTTGGATTTTTTTTTTCTCCAAACTGAAATGCCACAATCTCTATAACTCATAGAGGAAGGAAGAGGATTCGCTTTGTTTAGTCAGTTTTCATGCATTTGCACACAGACACCAAGGACAGTACGTGCGTCATTTTAAATATGTACCAAGTTTACCAGTGACTGAAGAAGAGCAGAGTGACTGATGAAACTATTGGAGATAAGGCCTCTGTAACAGGCTGGCAGTGGTTCTGACAGCCCCTTCAGGGCAGAGCAGGGGTGCACAAACACACACACACGCGCATATCAAGCATGACTTTTAATTAAAAGAATGCTGGGCCGGGCACGGTGGCTCACACCTGTAATCCTAGCACTTTGGGAGGCCGAGGTGGGTGGGTCACAAGGTCAGGAGATCACGACCATTCTGGCTAACATGGTGAAACCCCGTCTCTATTAAAAATACAAAAATTGGCCGGGTGCAGTGGCTCACGCCTGTAATCCCAGCTACTGGGGAGGCTGAGGCAGGAGAATGGCATGAACCCAGGAGGCGGAGCTTGCAGTGAGCCGAGATCGGGCCACTGCACTCCAGCGTGAGTGACAGAGCGAGACTCCGTCTCAAAAAAAAAAAAAAAAGAATGCCGGATGTGATTTATGTGGAATATTACCTGCAAAGGGGCACTTGGCAGCTGCTGGTAAAACTAGTATAGGGAGGAGGGTTGTATTCTCTTTTTTCCAAAGTAGCTAATGTGTACTCTGCTCCCATAGTGGCACTGGGTTCTTCTGCTGCCTGTGGCATTGCAAATGCCCTCGTCCTGTGTCCTGTTTCCAGTCCAGAGCTCCTCTTCTCTTGGCCTACTCTCACCCTACATTGGCCAAACCTCTTTGTACTTCTACACCATTCATGCATTTATCTGGTGTTCTGCATGTCTCCCTTAGGCCAAGCCCTGTGCTGAGCATTAAAGACATTGAAAAAACTTAGTCTCCAGGTCTCTGGCCTCAAGAAGTATACATTCTGATGGCACTTGACATATTACTTGTGCCTCAGATGGGGGGAGAACAGTAACAACTTCTTGAAGGAGGAGAAATCTGAGCTGAGCCTCAGAGGGTGGGTAAGATTTATATATAGACATATATAGCTCTCTTTATGGGTGGGTAAGATTTATATATATACACATATATAGCTCCCTCTCTCTCTATATATAGAGAGAGAAATCTATGTAGAAAAAATGGAGGGGCCAGGCACAGTGGCTCAGGCCTGTAATCCCAACACTTGGAGAGGCCAAGGTAGGAGGATCACTTGAGCCCAGGAGTTTGAGACCAATCCAAGCAACATAGTAAGACCCCATCTCTACAGAGAATTTAAAAAATTAGTTGAGCATGGTGGCACACACCTGTAGTCCTAGCTTCTCAGGAGGCTGAGGTGGAATCATCTATTGAGCCAGGAAGTCGAGGCTACAGTGAGCTGTTGATCGTACCACTGCACTCCAGCCTAGGTGACAGAGTGAGACCCTATCTAAAAAAAAATGGAGGGACAGCCCAGGAGGAAGATTAAGAACAGAAGCGCATAGGAGGTGGGGGGTGTGTGTGTGTGTGTTACAAACCTGAATGTGTAGGTATCAGCAGGGTTTCTGATTGGTTCCAGCAAAGGGCAAATTTAAAGATACTGTAAAGGATTAATTTGGAAAGGTAGGTTATTCAGTCATTTGTTTAGTATTTTCTCGTATTCTCTGGTTGTTTTGGGAGTTTGGTATGAAGTTGAGAGAAGCCCTAGCCCTCGAGGGGCTCTGTCTGCTTATTGTCCTCTGTATTTTTTTCGTCTCTTTCTTATTTCTCTTCCCTTACGCAGAGCTTAGTTCCTCCGTATCAGAGAAGATCCGCTGTTGTGAGTGTTTAGTAACTTAGTTGAAAGATGCACATATTTAAGGAGCTGGTGTTTCTTCCACATTAGAATGCCCGTGCCATTCCCTGTATGTTTTTTTTTCCCACAGATATCAGGGGTCTGACCAGTGCCTCACAGCTGGAACAGCTGAACAAACGATACTGGTACATTTGCCAGGATTTTACTGAATATAAATACACACATCAGCCAAACCGCTTTCCTGATCTCATGATGTGCTTACCTGAGATTCGATACATTGCAGGTAACATTCTGGGTCTTGGGCTTCCAACCCTTCCTTGCTTCTCTTAGCTTGTGAAGGGAATGAGGCAAGCAGTGTTTTCAGGGTGCCCATTCCAGCCCATCACCAGCTGCATGAAAGAGTTCTCACCGTTGCCCTCAAAAAAGGTCTGTTATAATGAGAAGCTTGCATTCTCCCTAGAGAAGAGAAGTTAATTTCCTGAGCTCTTACGATGTGCAGGATACTTTGTGGCCTTATATCATTTAATCTCACACCAGTCTCTACTGGTGGTTGGTGATATTATAGCCATTCTATGGATGAGGAAACAGAGGCTCAGAGTATCTCAAATTAACTTAATGCCTTGAATTGTGTACTTTAAATGAATTTTATGATACACGAATTATATCTCAGTTTTTAAGATTACCTTCATTTCACAGAATTGCCCATGAGCTTTGAGGGATCATTTATTTAAAGTGGTATCTTTAGCTAGGCACAGTGGCTCATGCCTGTAATCCCAGCTACTCAGGAGGCTGGGGAAAGAGGATCAGTTGAGGCTAGGAGTAAAGACCAGCCTGGGCAACATAGTGAGGCCTCATCTCTTAAAAAATTAAGATAAAATAAGAATAGGAAAAATAAAGTTTAAAATCCTGTATTTGCAGAGGAATTTTATGTATTGGGGGGTATGTGTATGTATGTATGTTTTTATGTGGTCTTGACCCCTTCTGAGCTTCCTGACATTTAAATAGGTCTATTTCAATACAGAATCCTGGCTTTTCTGGTTGTTGCTTTGCTTCATGTAGTAAATATTCTTGTTCTGGCTGTCCAGCACATACTGAGGGGCAGCTCAGAAATGTGACCTATAGACCAGGATTCTTCCTATAAAATTCAGCAATACAGTTTTTTAATTCAACATAAAAATTCTAGAGAAAGCAATACAATTTTAAAAGAAAAATATTTCAATCTGACAAGGGAATTTTTTTTTCTACTTCTTGGGCCACAAAGCAGTCTAGCAAATGTGATCTGGGCCTAAACTATTGGAATTTTGGCAATATTTTGACAGTTTGTCTCAGTATTTTCTAAGCTAGAGTTTACTACATGAGCTATTAAGCAGGGACTCTGTGAAGTAAAAGGAAGTCAATTACACACCACTCTCCTCCATAGAACTGAGTCCTCAGCCTTGGCGACACTTCCAGTCACCTGGAAAACTTAAAAAATAATAATAATAAATGTTTGAGTTGCACCTGGAGATTTTGGTTTAATTGGAATGGGGTGGAGTCTGGAGATCAATCAGTGTTTTCAAACAGCTCCCCAGGTCACTCAGAGGTACGGTTTGGGAGAAGAAACACAGCCTTAGGTATTTACAAATTATATTAGCACACTGAATGCTCTGAGAAGCCCTTCAATCAAGAAATCTGTAAAGCTCTTTTAACCCTGAGTTTCTCAAATGTATTTGGCCTTTTACCCCCGCTCTTTTTTCCCCTAGTACTTTTATTAACCTATTAAACCATTCCGAAGTGTAATATTTTATAGAATATTACTTAGAAAATCTACCGGGGCTTGAGGGGGTGAAGAAAACAGGACAGAATTTTCTCAGACTACCTCTCAGTTTCAGATTCCTTGTCTATAAAATGAGGGTAAAAAGCAGTACACAGAAATAGTGTGAGAATTCAATGAGTTAATGCATTTAACCACCTAGAACAGAGTAAGTATTCCCTGAGCAGTAGAATGATGATGAGTTGGCACCATTACTAGGCTCCCTAGGGCACCCAAAGGGGTCTGGATGTTAGGATGTTAACACAGTGTGTCCGACCTTTGTGATACTCCTGGCACTTCTCTTGCCCCAGTCACTCAGCAAGGTGATACTCTCCCTCCAGCAGTCCAAGGAGGCTGACTTGCCCGTCCACTAGAGTGACCACTGCTAACTCTTCTTCTCCCCCTTTGTTCCCAGGAAAGATGGTGAATGTGCCCCTGGAGCAGCTGCCCCTCCTCTTTAAGGTGGTGCTGCATTCCTGCAAGACAAGTGTGGGCAAGGAATGACCTGTTCCCAGCGCCCTCCTCAGGCCAACCACAGCGCCTTGGGTGGGCAGGACAGGCTCTGGAGGAAAAAGCCGGAGAGACCAAGATGGAGTCTGTGGAGCAGCATTTCCCATTGCCTCCATAGCAAGAAGAGTGTTTGTTTGTTTGTCTGTTTTTTTAACCTCATTTTTCTATATATTTATTTCACGACAGAGTTGAATGTATGGCCTTCAACATGATGCACATGCTTTTGTGTGAATGCAGCCAATGCATTTTCTTACAGTTTACAGAATGTGAAGATGTTTAATGTTACAGTGTTGTCATTGTTTAGAAATAGTTCTTTTGTATTTTGAGGGAGAGGGTGGGATGGGGCTAAGATGACTATTTCCATAATGTTGACAAAGATGACTACCTCAATGGAAATGGGGGGTGTGGCCATCCCTACTTTTTCCACATTTTCTCAGCAGACTCACACATTTGTCTGTCAGAGAGCAAATTGCCTTTTTTAGCCACAGAATTGCCAGATAAAAGGGCACACTGTAAAGGGGCAAAGTGTTATTAGGAGATTTACTAAGCAAGGTTGGTGAGACGGCAACAGGGCAGGAGATGAAGATTGAGCCATGTCCTTTCCTTGGAAAGCATGCAAATTAAGAGAGTAGGGCACAGTGACCATATTTAAGGCAGGTATCCTTCCACCTAACAAGTCCTAAGGGCAGAAAAATTTCTGTTCTCACACATTGCTGCCCTGCTTACCCCTGCACCACCATCACTGTCTACCACTGTGAACTTTCCATCTAGGCAAAGTCCTGGCAATCAGTTGATCCACAGGACTCGCCTCCCAGCTCCCTTGGGGCCCCCAGCTACCTAGTTTCCTTACCTGGATCTCCTGAGCCCACCTTCCTCCTTCCCGCTCCCTTACACATTTGACTTCCTATTGGCCCTTTGAAAAACCAGCTGAGCAGAATGCCATATTCTGAAGCCTGGTGCCCACTACTGATTTATTCTCCTTTCACTTTATTTCCTTCAGAGGGTAGTAGGGCAAGGCCAGACTGCAAAAAGAATAGACACTCCCCTTTTGAAATCTCCTGTTCCTCTCCCCTCCCCTTCCTACCATACCCTCAGGTCTAAATCCAAAAACTTCAGGCTTTTTTAAAAATACAGTGAGAAGGACCATTCATTCACCTGTCTGCTGACCAGAAATGTTGCCCCTAAGTTCTTCTCCAAGTTATCCTTTTCTCTCCAGAGTGAGACCAGTTTTCCTCAGGGACCCAGAACATAAAGCCCAAGGCCCAGAGTGGCCCAGCTGCCTCTTAGTTCAGCAGTGGACTGGCCAGCCAAGGCCTGGAGGGCTGGAGCCAGAAGCACCTGGAAGGGAAGGGGGGCTTTAAACTACCTCAGGTTCCTAATGGCCCAGCTGCTACCTCTGCAGACATGGCCTGGACTCCTTGATCTCTCACTACCTGCCCCACCTCATCCCAGGACGTGTTCCTTACCCTCTTGACTTTGGCCAGCGCCACACCAGGTCTGTCTTGGAACTCTTTCAGGTGCTTTTCCCCTTTTCGCCTTAATGTAGCAGTTGTCCTGCCTACACCCAGGTACCTTCCACAGCCAGTGTGGCAAGCTGACCACTTAGTTGGCTGCATGCCTGGGTAGGTTGGAGGGGCCCACGGCACCTCCTTCTGCCTATTTAGTCAAAGGCTGTTTGCTCTCTCCCCAACTCAACCTAGTGAAGCTACCCAGGAGGCCACCACGTCGTGTGCATATTGGGTAGTCCGTGCCTGATTGTACTTGTTTCTTTCTGGTGAAATGTTACGGGTACCCACAGAGTGATGATTGTGGCCCTTGATGGATCTGAAACTCAGAGTGTGACTCCTCAATGCCATTTGCCCAGTTGCTCTGAGAACGAAGAGACATGTTCCTCAGGAAAAGCTCCAGCTAGCATGGTTTTCATGTCAATGGGAGGATTCTTGTGTGTTCGTGTGTATCTGTTTATCTCTAAGTTCATGATACTTGTTCCCCTGAATGTGTTTATCTAACCAACTAGATCACATTCTTTGGCCACAGGTCAGACTCTGAGCTGCTCTCCTCCAGATCAGGAAGGAGACACACATCACAGACCCTTTCTGTGAGACGGCTGCTGTGTACAGCGTCATTCTCTGCTGAGGCCTCCATCTGTCCAACTATTATTTTTGAAATTGCTTTTCAAATTTAACATTTTACGCGTTGTGTTGGGTGTCAAAAGAGATTGCTCTCTGGTGAGGCAAGAACATGTCTCCCCAACAGCGTAGTACTGAACAGAGCAAGTTGTCAATGTGTGGAGTAGGGGAGGTTCTGCAAGCTGCCATTGTACAAATCCAGTTTTACAAATGTTTGCAGCAGATTCCACAGAACAAAGAGCCCATTCATTGCCGAGAGCCCTGCAGAATCTCTGAGCCAAGTGGCCGTGTGTTCCAAGCTGGAGCCTGACCTGTGGACCATCTTTAATGTCTTCTGCACCAGTCCTTTTATGACATGGGCTTTTTTAAAACAGGGTAAAGTGAATGTGTTGCATTGCAAACTCAGGTATTATGAGGAGAAGGTAGGAGTGTAGCTAGCAGCGTGGAGACATTAGGTCATCCACTAGATGTATTTGTGAATTTGGTTTGAAGGACACAGAGAAAGGTTGGAGGGGGAGGTTTGGTATGTTTATTTTTTGCTTTCTTCCCATAATGTTTGGTTAACAGGTAGCCTTTTTGCTAGTGGAAAGAGAGAAAACTTGTACATGTTTTCTCTAATTTCTCTCTCTGCCCTCTCTCTGATCCCCAGCGAGCAAAAGCACTCACTTGGAGTGAGAATTTTGTTTTGTTTTGTTTTTGGTTTTTTTGGTTTTTTTTTGAGACGGAGTCTCGCTCTGTCGCCCAGGCTGGAGTGCAGTGGCGTGATCTTGGCTCACTGCAAGCTCCGCCTCCCGGGTTCATGCCATTCTCCTGCCTCAGCCTCCCGAGTTGCTGGGACTACAGGCGCCCGCCACCACGCCTGGCTAATTTTTTTTTGTATTTTTAGTAGAGACAGGGTTTCACCATGTTAACCAGGATGGTCTCGATCTCCTGAACTCGTGGTCCACCCGCCTCGGCCTCCCAAAGTCCTGGGATTACAGGCGTGAGCCACCGCGCCCGGCCGAGTGAGAATTTTTATGCCATAAAAATACGACTCTGAAAGCTACGTGGAAAAGGAGAATCTCACCTCCTTACACTACGTTGAAACATGCAAGCCTTTTCCTCCCTGTCCTTTTTGATGTTTTCTTGTCCCAAGACAAAAGTTTGGCATCTTGGAACTTATTCATGCTCTCTGGCTGCCTTTGTAGACTTTTGGAGTCCCTTGCAAGGTTTGGTGGGCTTGCCCTTAATCTGGAGAAATTCCCCAGAATCTGTCTCAAAGGGCTCAACCTGGCTCAGAGGACACCCAGCCCCTATGCCCCACTCACAAAAGAGAGGTGGGCAAACCCCCAGGGATAGGAGGAAGTAGGCAGGATCCTCCCTATCCTGTTCCCCAGAACCAGAGCAAGGAACGAGGAATCCTAAGGGTTTCTGTGGCGTCACTGAATGTCACCCAGTCCACATCAGCCTGCCTGTCACCTGCCACCCTTTTTCAGGGAGGTGAGTACCTGCCGTGGTCAACCGTCACCAGATCCTTAAAATCCTGGGCTCAGTCTGAGCTAGCTGTGTTGCTCTGTTAACCATTTCCTACATTTGTTTGTTCATTCTGGATTTCCTGGGGGAATGGGACTGATGGAGACAGACAAACCCACTGTGGGCAGCATCTAAGCCATGTCCAAGGTTGGTCGAATTAAGGGAACCCTGTCCTCTCAGCAGGACAGAAAGCTGAGCTGTGGTTCCAGGCCCTCCTCTCTGGGCCCCTGGTATATATCTTTTTTCCTTGTTGCTTTTGAAATTTTTGCAATTGTTTTAAGAATCCAGTCTTTCAGACCAGCCCTTTTATTAAGCTTTGAATTTTTTAATTGATTTTTTTAAGTAAAAAACAAAAAAACAAACAAAATTTAACCAAAAAAAAAAAAAAAAGCTACTCTTACTCCCCTGCCTCCCCCTACCCCAGCCCATGAGAGTTCCCTTGCACTCCCCTCTGCCTTTGCAGTTGATCATCCTCCCTTTCTGCTTGGCTTGAAGCATCTATGTCCAGTGTCTGTGAAATGATGTTTTATCTGTGTGTCAGGATGAGAAACGGCAGTCATTCCACCACGTGTTGGAAACTGGTTAGCCTGGAGACAAGGGTTTCTGGGGCCACAGCTCAGGGATGTGTATTTAATTACAGGATCCCCAGAAACTCCTCTTTAGGCTGCCACAGCAACATTTTTTCTGGGCTTGGGAGCCATACCTGAACTGTTTCCTCCAAGGCGGGAGCTCCAGAGAGCCTGCCAAGTCTGGAGCAAGCTGGGGCTTCCGCTTTGGCCAGACCTGGGCCACCATGAGATTGAAGCCTTCTAGCTGTCCTACAACATAAGCCACGGTGGCCCTGCCTCTTCCCGCTCATAGAAGCCTGGTCCCTCTGTCTAGCCCAGTCCCCATCTAGCATCCGTCTTCTGGGCCTGAAGCCCTAAATGGGCCACAGCCTGCACAGGAATCAACTGTAGGCTCAAAGGGAGGCGGTGAGTAAGGTCAGAGCCTGCTCCAAGCCCAAGAACAAAAGTTGTGTTACTGGTGGAGGCTGGTCCCCAGATCTAGCCCTGCTGTCTTTGCCCTTTGATGACCATTGTTTTCTTTCTCTAAAATGTCTTGTAATAGATGATAATGTTGTTGACTCAAATTTCCATGAAAAAGAAAAAAAAAACTACCTCTTAAGCGACATCCTGGTCGATTCCTCTCTGAGCAATCCTGTGGGAAAAGAATACTGTAGCTCCTGCTCTGTTTACTTGTTTCTGTCGGGAAAGAAGCCCCGCCTGCCCTGGGCTGTTGGTGTTTTTGTCTGTGTTGCCATCCCAGGTCTGCCATAGGGGCTGGTGGCTGCATTGTAGTGTCTGGTCTATGTCTGGGGATTCCTTCCCACCTACCCAGCCAGGGACTGGTCACCCCCGTGAAGAGGCCTCCATTTCCTTCCTGTGCTCCAGGGCATAGGGAGCATCACTCCCATAGACACTACCTTTAGGGGCTCTGGTGGCACACACATCCACGAGCCTACCCCCGGGTTACCTGCCCTAGGTCCACCTCCACCCACAGTCCTGTGTGTAGGAATCGAGGAAACGGGATGTCCCTGAGCCCTTGTCCCCAAAGGGCCGGCCAAGGGCTGCCTGCCAGCCTGACTCCATCAACCCTGCATGACCAAATGATAGCTGGTGGGCTCTGCAGGCTACCCAGGCCCTCTGCTACCTCCCACCCTGCCAGCTGGCAAGGGATGGGCCCTGTTCTGTGAATTGACTACCTGTGGAAATGTGACCAATTAGTGTGAAATGCATGTTTAGCAAGTGTTAGGTACTGTATTTGAACCAATAAATGTGAATCCTTCTGCACATGGCATCTGTCTATGAAGCTTGTCTGGGGTTCTGGGGAGGGATGATGGCGTGTCCTGAGGTGCCGGCTTGTGCCTTCAGACCTGTGGCTCTTGCTCATAGCTGACACCCACCTCAATTACTGTTGCTGAGGCTCTGGCAGGGGCCGGTGTCTCAGAACTGCCTGAATCAATGAACCAGCACTGACTGAAGTGCCCACCTTGTGTCCCAGGCACCATATTGAACTTCAAGGATTATTACTTCTATTTTGTAAGTGAAGAAACTACAGTTGAGGGAGGTGAAAAGACTCTCCCGGGGTGAGTGGCACAACCAGAGAAGTGAGCCTAGTGGAGAGGCAGATATAGACCGCAGTGGAGGGGGGATGAGGTTGTCATTAGGAATGTATGTGGGGTTGTAAGGGCCTGGAGAAGGAGTGGCTTGTTCTTTGCAGGATAGTCAGGAAGAGCTTCACAGATGAGTGTTGTTGAAGGTGGCCCTTGAAGAAAGTCACGAGGCAAAGGGATCCACAGGTAGGCCAGGTGGAGGGATCCATGTCCAAAGGGCTGGCTGTATCAGAAAGACGGAGTGTTCCGGTATAACAAGGGACTGCCGTGACTGGAATGGTGGCAGGTGGGAGGGATTAGCAAGAGTTGAGGCTGGAGAAGCAATTGGGAGCCTTGGATGCCACATTCAGGAGTGTGGGGAAAGAAGGCCGTCAGCTGAGTCTTGGGCAAGAGGGCAGCGTCATAGTGCACGAGAGGCCAATGGATGGTCTAGGATGCACTGTGCTCTAACAAAGTGATACTGTCTGTCCAGAAAATAGGTGAGATCTATTAATAGCTTTTCTAGAGCTAAAAAATGGAGGCTCTAAGAGATCAAGGGATGTGGCCAAAATCATACAGGAGTGTTAAGTTCGTACTTGAACCCAGATCTACCCAACTGTCCTGTAGGCCTGCTCATATGATCAGAGAAGTGGCAGAGTTTGGGTTGAGGGTGTATGAAGACAGATGGGAGAGATGAAGGCTTCTCAGGCTGGGAAGATAAAGGCTGAGGAGGGTTTGATCAAAGTCTATTAATCCTCTTGTGTGAAATGAGGGAAGCCCAGCTGCCTTCCCATTCCTCAGCCTCCAGCACAAGAAACCAGAGAGCCCTTGAGTTTTGAAAGAGATGGGTTTAGAACAAAGGAAATGCTGCAGAACGAATTAATAGACTGTCTTCCTTGCCCCACAAGAGGGAACAGATACACAGAGGTGCCGGGAGGAGAAGGGACGCATTGGCCCACCGCCTCGAGAGTCCAGGCACTGTGATTGGTGCTTCGCGCGTGTCACCTCAGTAATCTTCCTAACGGCCTTGCAAGGGGTAGGTGTCAGCCCCGGTTTTCTAATAAGCAAATTGAGGCTCAAGGAAGTTAAGCCTTTTGCTTCAGATGACACATGAGTCAGTGGCAGAATTGGCTTTTGAATCCAGGTCTATCTGATACTAAAGTTGCAACAGGCTTCCTCCCTGCTCAGTCTTAGCAATTCAGTAGTGCTGAATGTGGGCGTCCAGAGTTTGTAGCAAAGCTCAGTAATGGCCTTTGGGTGAACCTTTTCAATACAAAAATAAATAAAAATAAAAAACATTAATAAAGGATTAATTCTGTAAGAGGTGGATGAACAGACCCAACCAAAGTGAGCTGAAAAGCGGTGCTGTCCAAACATGTAGAATACTGCAGGTGCTACCGTTCGTATGGCTTCTCAGAACACAAACCCCCCCGCCTTCACCCCGAGATGGTTCCATGGAAAAAGCCAGAATTCTGTTGCCAAAAATATGGGAAGTGCTGCACTTGCTCTATCGTCCTCATTGATTCTCAGCCCTTATTGGCATACTAAAGGCTCTGAGAAGTCCCACCTGAAGAAAACTAACGTTTAACCCAGGTTCTACCAAAAGCATTTGAGCATTGGACTTTTTTGCCTCCTGTTAAAATTCTGCTGGGATAATATTCCATGGAATAAAAGGACACTGCTCTAAATACATAAATTGCTGCCTATGTGCCACTGAGTTTTTAGTTTCCTGGGTGCCAGCCAATAATACGGAACAATAATAAAGTAACATCTAGAAAACAAAGCAAAGCTCTGTGCTAAATATTTTGTGTGCATTAGAGTACTACTGATTCCCCAGGGCAACCCAGTGAGATTAATGCTATAATGATCCCATATTACAGACAAGAAAACTGAGGCCCAGAAAGAGTAAGTCATTTGCTTGAGGTTACATAACTGGTGAGATGTCAGGAATGAATATAAACCAAATGTCAGGAATAAATATAAACTGGCATCGATTGAGTGTGTACTATTCGATAGGATCTGTGCTGTGATTCTTATCCTTGTGCAAACCCTCCGAGGTACGTAAAACCATCTACATACCTGAAGAAACAGGGAAAGCTGGCTACTCCAAATTAAGTCAGAGTCTGAAGACAGACGCCCCTGGAAATGATGGCAAGGGAGAGTCCTGGGATGAGGTTGGGTCTGACTACACAGAGCTCTTTCCAGGGGTCATTTCCTTCAAGCAGTCTATGAGACAGCAGGCACATCAACCAGAGATCTCACCAGCTAGTCAGTGTTGGAGCTGAGACCTGAATCCAGGGCTTCTGACTCAGGAACCCATGCTTTTTCTGCAACTCCTCGTTCCAGTTCTTGCCCTTCCTGGTTGTATGTGACCTTGACCCAGACAGATGCTTCTCCGATCCTCAATTTCCCTGTCAGACAAATGGAGGTGATGGTACCTGTGTCCTGGGGGACAGGGGGCAGGGTTAAGGAAGAGTGAGTGTGTCTGGCTTAATGTTGGGTCTCAGTGAAGTCAATACCTGAAAGGAGGCTGGGTACGGGGAGCTGTCGCCCCTACACCCCAACAGCAGAAACTCAGCAGAGCCAGGAGCCTTGGCCTGGCTGCCCATCAGGGTTTTAGGTCCACAGTGGTAATCAGTCTCTCAGATCCTATGGCAAAAGTGCCCAACTGCCAGACCCGGGGCTCTTGGAGTCTTGTTCCCTTGGCAACAAGTCTCACCATGGAGACCACAGCCCCATCTTGCCCTCCCTGCATGCTGCCTCTCCACAAACCTTCCTTGTTCAACACCCAGTCCTGGGAGCAGTGTAGGTACTGAGGAGTGCTTCCAGGAGGCACTTCCTCAGATGAGGAGTTGGAGGCAAAAGGATCTCCCATTTTTTGAGTGTCCACTTTATGTGTGGCAAGGTCGAAAGGAATCTGCTACATATGTCATCTCGTTCAGGTTAAAAGCCAGGCGCTCACCCTGTTTTCCGTAAGTGGAAACTGAGGCTCAGGGAGGCAAAATGGACCAGCCCAAAGTCTCACAGCTAGTCAGTGTTCGAGCTGAGACCTGAATCCAGGGCTTCTGACTCAGGAACCCATGCTTTCTCTGCAACTCCCCATTCCCACCCATATTCCCACGAAGCCTCCAGCCACAATCTGAGGAGGGCTGGCTACCTGGGCCTCTGCGGGCAGCACGAGCAGCCAGCCAGCAGCGCTCTGAGGTCTGGGCTGGGCCCAGCAGCATTACAGGAGGAACTGCACTATTTTAAGCCAGGGCCGGAGGGCCCCATGTGGGCACAGGGAGGGTGGCCTCGGGCCCTTGGCCAGCTTCCCGGAAGTCCCCATGGCCTCCCTCCTCTCCCGCTAGCAGGTTTCTGAGGCAGTGACTTCCCTACAAACAGGAAGGAGGCTCTCAGGCTGCGAGACCTCCAGCCCCGGCTTCCTCCCCGTTGCTACCACCCCCAGGCTTCTCCACTAAATGGCGGAGCCCTCCAGCGCCAAGCCCTATCAGTGTCCATCATCCAGGCTGACTCCTGGCCGTGGGTGGGAGGGGGCCTGAATTTGGGCTCCTTGGGCTGCCCCAGCTCACCCACTACAGTTCCAAGGTCCCTGCTTTCCGAGGCCCTTTGTCCCTCACCCGAGCCCAAGTTCTCACAGACATTCCCACCCGGCTGGCCACTGTGAGCTAGAAAGAAGAGCGTCAGTATCCTTAGATGTGGCCCCATTCAAGGACCCCAGAGAGAGAAAAGAAAAACAGACTCAGAGGCTGAAAATAGCAGAGAGAAACAAGTTAGAACGTGATTAAGATACCGACAGTGACAGATTCATCGTGACAGAGGTGAAAGCAGAGACGAGCGAAGACACACCAGAGATGGCTGTGCAGGGCTGGAGCCCAGCAGGGGGTGGTTCAGCGCGATGGCTCCTGACCACCCTCCAAGCACAGGCCCTTTCTCGGGGCTGTGGGGGGCCCACCGGCTGCGTGACTGAAGTGGAATGTGGGGAGCAAGGCTGGGTCACCCCTTGAGGGCCAAGCGTGTGCACCGAGAGATAAGCTACTCCAAGCTGGGGGCCCCAGCTGCACTGCACGCTCCAGGAGCCTGGCGGAGAGGCCAGACCCAAGGCTGGAGCCCAGCTCTGCCAGATGCCACCTTCTGCACATCCTACGGGGGCTCCCCCAGGCCTCATGTTCTAAGGGTCCCAGGTCCTCTGCCCAGCCCTGGGGACAGCAGATTCCAGGCACATCCAGTTCATAGAAGAGCAGTGTGGGCCCCGGAAATAGTATCAGCCACAAAGAGGCCCCTGCCTCGCTTCTCCAGCGCGGGTTGCAGTCCTGGGTCAGGTGAGGGGTTGAGGGGTAGGGCCCTAAGCTGAACACGCAGAGCAGGGGCTCCAGCAGGCTGTGGGCTACTGCGGAATGCCGTGGGGGCGCAGCTCTTCACTGCACTCTGTGAGCTGTCCCCATGTGGCACTGTGCACTCGTGTGCCTGAGTGTGTGTCCACGTGTTTTCTCGAATGTGCAAAGATGTACGTGTCCACGTGTTGCCAGGAGCCCCACTCTGCCTCCACAAGTCCCTGCTCTCAGTCTAGAGAAGTGGCCCCAGAGGCACCTGGTCTTCCCCATCCCCATGAGGTGGTCCAGCCCAGAGAGCCACCAGGCAGAGGGGGAAGAGCGAGAAGGTCTATTGCAGGCCCCTAGCCCCCCTCCCCACACTGCAGCTGAGGCTCCCGCCGGCCACGGCCTTGACCCAGCACTATGGACTTCTCTGACATTGGCATCGGATCTGAACATCTGGCAGCAGGCTGATAAGGGGTGCAGCGGAAACAGCCTCTGCTGCCGCCAGCAGGCCCGCCCCCTCTGCTGCCCTGCACGGGGTCTCCACATCCACCCTCCCTCCGCCTCCAGCTCTCCGGGTCCCGGCCCTTCCCACTTCTCATTCTCTGCCTCAGTCTCCCTCTGTCTGTCTGAATCTGTCTCATCCCTACTCTCTCTCTCTCTCCTTCATTTCTTCTCGCTCTCGCTTCTTCTCTCCCCAACCCTCACCACTCTGAATTTCTCTGTCATCCTCCCTCCCTCCCCGACTGGGTCTCCCCCTTCTCTCTCTTTTCATATTTTCTGCCCAAATCTCTGCAGCTTCTCTCTCTTTTTCTGGCCACCTTTCCCGCTCTGCAGCCTGATGACTCTGTCCTTCTCCTCTGTGTGTCAGTTTCTGGGCCTCTGGTTTGTTTCTTCCTCATCCCACCTCCAGGAAATGGGTCTGGCACTATGGGAAAGTCCCCACTTAGGAGAGAGACCCTGGGCTTTGTTCGCCTGAGGAGGGAGGTTGGGGGCGCCTGAGTCAGGACTACACCCCTCCTTTGCTTTCCCCTCTGGGTGGATGCAGTAGCCTGGGACCACCAGGGCTGGGGCTTGAAGGAAAGGACACACAGGCCACCCAGGGGCTCTGGCAGGGTGGAGAGGAGTCAGCCTGCAGGCCTGGGCTCTGGACTTCACTGCCGGGATTTGAACGCTGGTCCCATCACACCCTCGCCTAGTGACTTTGGGAAGGTGCCTGGTCTCTCTGAGCCTGACTTTCCTCCTCTCTTAACTGCTGCTATCGGAGGTTGAGCGGGAATTACTACCTACCTCCCAGAATGCTGGGGAGATTCGAGACTGACTGCAGGTGCGGAGGGGTTAGGTGGGGGACCTGGCACGTAGGGGACACTTCTGAGTTGGGGCCTTGCCATTCCCAGCACACTGGTAACCCCTGGCTGTCCCCGTCCCCATAGAGCACCCAGTTTAGCTGAGGGTGGGAGGGGACAGCTCAGAGGAAGGGGTTATCAGTGACTGTGGCCAGGGTTGGTTAGGGGATGAGGAGCACCCAGCCTTGAGTGATGGCAAGTGACAGCTGATGCCAACAGAACAGACAGGACCCAAGGAGCAGGCAGCAGAGCTCTACCTACAAGTGCAGGGGAAAGTGGTCATTCAGCAAGTTCCAACGCTTGCTCCATGCAGGCTGCTGTGGACCCAGAGATAAATCAGGCCTTTCCTGGAGGGTTCCCCAGGCTGGGGTGAGGCGTGCATCACAGAAGGGCAAACAATGTCCATGATGATGTTGCAATCTCAGACTCAACTGGGAAAGGGCCTCCGAGGACAGATCAGCGAGCCCTTCAGCTGGTTGTTTGTTTGTGTTTTGCTGACACTTTTTTTTTTTTTTTTTTTTGAGACGGAGTCTCTCTCTGTCGCCCAGGCTAGAGTGCAGTGGCCAGATCTCAGCTCACTGCAAGCTCCGCCTCCCGGGTTCCCGCCATTCTCCTGCCTCAGCCTCCCGAGTAGCTGGGACCACAGGCGCCGCCACCTCGCCCGGCTAATTTTTTGTGTTTTTTTTTAGTAGAGACGGGGTTTCGCCGTGTTAGCCAGGATGGTCTCGATCTCCTGACCTTGTGATCCGCCCGTCTCGGCCTCCCAAAGTGCTGAGATTACAGGCTTGAGTGCTGACACTTATTGGGCACACATGACATACCAGCCAGCCACTGAATACGCTACATGTGTTGTCTCCTTTCATCCCCATTTTACAGAGAAGATGGAAGGCCCAGAGAGGGGAGGTGACTGGTCCCAGGTCACACAGCTAGAAAGTGGTAGAACTGGGATTCAATGCAGAGATTCTGCCAGCAATTCTCCTTCTCAGGGCTCAAGGGTTCACCAGGAGACTATGACAAAGCCAGGCTGGTTCCTTCTATGGCATCACGGGGTGAAGAGAGACCTGTTTGTCTCGTTCAAGAAGGCGGACAAAACAGACCGCACTTCATAAGGTCGCTCATCAAACGAGGTGCAAAGATTCATGATTTTGTTGTTGTTACATGTATGTGACATGTTAGTGATGGGTATTTGCTGGGAGATATATATATATGTATATTTTTTTTTTTTTTTTTTTTGAGATGGAGTCTCGCTCTGTTGCCCACGCTGGCGTGCAGTGGCACTGTCTTGGCTCACTGCAAGCTCCGCCTCCCGGGTTCGCACCATTCTCCTGCCTCAGCCTCCTGAGTAGCTGGGACTGCAGGCGCCCGCCACCAAGCCTGGCTGATTTTTGTATTTTTAGTAGAGCCGGGGTCTCACTGTGTTAGCCAGGATGGTCTTGATCTCCTGACCTCGTGATCTGCCCACCTCGGCCTCCCAAAGTGCTGGGATTACAGGCGTAAGCCACCGTGCCCAGCCTTGCTGGAATATTTCTTATTAAATTCAGAGGGCGAGTGATATTAGTTCAGAAACAAAATCATTGCATTAAAATAGGGACACTAGGCTGGGTGCAGTGGCTCATGCCTATAATCCCAGCACTTTGGGAGGCTGAGGCGGGTGGATCACCTGAGGTCAGGAGGTCGAGACCAGCCTAACCAATATGGTGAAACCCCATCTCTACTAAAAATACAAAAATTAGCTGGGTGCGGTGGCAGATGCCTGTAATCCCAGCTACTTGGGAGGCTGAGACAGGATAATTGCTTGAACCCTGGAGGCAGAGGTTGCAGTGAGCTGAAACCATGCCACTGCACTCCAACCTGGGCAAGAGAGTGAGACTCCATCTCAAAAATAAATAAATAAATAGGGACACTAAGGCCGGGTGCTGTGGCTCACGCCTGTAATCTCAGCACTTTGGGAGGCCGAGGCAGCTGATTGCTTGAGCCCAGGAGTTTAAGACTAGCCTGGGCAGCATGGCGAAATCCCATCTCTACAAAAGAAAACACAAAACTTAGCCAGGTGTGGTGCCATGTGCCTGTAGTCTCAGCTATTCAGGAAACTGAGACAGGAGGATCGCTTGAGCCCAGGAGATCAAGGCTACAGTGAGCTATGATGGTACCCCTGTACTCCAGCCTGAGTGACAGAGCAAGACCCTGTCTCGAAAGACATAAAACAAAACAGGAACACTAAAAAGAAGAACATTAAAATAGGGAGACTAGTTAGGTCCAGCCATATGCAAGAGAAGTATATCTTGTAAGATCTTCTCTAGGTGAAAAAGACGTAATTACAAGGTCATGCACATTGAGGAATGAGTTGTCTGTTACGTTGTAGGTGGACTATATTTGATCAGTTAGCCATGACTGTCGGTGAAATTATATTACAAAAATTATTATTATTGAATTAATGATTATTAATTATTAAAACTCTATTGCCCAGGCTAGAATGCAGTGGCACAACCACAGCTCACTGCAGCTCAAACTCCTGGGTTCAAACCATCCTCCTGCCTCAGCCTCCTGAGTAGCCAGGAC